AATGGTTCACTCGCAAATGGCCACAATGGCTGGAGCTGGGCGGAACCAAGCCCAGGAGCCAGGAGCTTCTTCCAGGTCTCCCTTGTGGGTGCAGGGACCAAATTGACATTCCCAATTTAGGAGCCCTCAGACTGATGAATGAATAAACACATAAGAAAAGTGGCTTGGTCTGAAATTTTTCTTCAGAACAACATTATTATATTAATGGGAATTTCCAATGTTTCTAGTCTGAGACTGAAAACGACTTTGAGAAATTTCTGTGACCAAGGGGAACACAGGTGAGATGCCAGAAAAAGCACAGCAGGATGCTCACTAAAGTGAAATGCGTTAATTTTAATAGAGAAGTGGAAATCCAAGAAAAGGGGACTGCAGAGAAGGAGGCAACACATCCAACTCCAACAGTCTGATCAAAGTCTTGTGATTCATTCTCTGACACTTGGAGACAAAAGCTCTTTCCTAAAGAAAGGGGGCTGTCTTAGAGTTTCTCCCCAAGGAGTCTTTTCAGAGCCCTCTTTATGTCTGTGTTCCTCAGACTGTAGATGAAGGGGTTCCGCATGGGAGTGACCACGGTGTACATCACTGAGGTAGTGGCACCTCAGTGTGCATTGTGGGCAGCAGAATAACTAAGGTACACACCAAGACAGCTGCAATAAAATAAGGAGATGACGGTGAGGTGAGAGGCACAGGTGGAAAATGCCTTGTACTTACCCTAAGCAGAGGAGACTGCACAGATGTAGATGATCTTAGAGGACCAAGGGATCCCAGCCAGGAGACCTCCACCCAGCAGCACAGCTGAAAAACAGACCAGTATGTGGTTCAGAAAGGTGCCATAACAGACTAGATGAACCAACTCATTAGGTTCACACAAAAAGTGGGGATTTCCAAGTTTGTGCAGGACATCTGTAACATCATTGGGCCTTGTACCAAGGAATTCAGGACACTAATGACCCAGGAAGCCAAAGCCAGGAGCCCACAGAGCCAGCATTTCATGGTGACCGTGTAGTGCAGGGGCTGACACATGGCCACAAACCAGTCATAGGCCATCACAGTCAGGATGAAGTCACCCAACCCTGCAAATAATATGAAGAACATCTGAGTGATGCAGCCTGCATAGCAGATGGCTTGGCTCTGTGTCTGAATGTTCACCAGCATCTTGGGGACAGTGGTAGAGGTGAAGCAGACATCCACCAAGGACAGGTTGGAGAGGAAGAAGTACATGGGTGTGTGGAGGTGGGGGTCTGAGAGGATGGCCAGGATGATGAGCAGGTTCCCAGCCACAGTGACCAGGTACATGGAGAGGAAGAGCCCAAATATGAGGGGCTGCAGTGCTGGGTCCTCTGAGAATCCCAGAAGGAATTCTGATATCTGTGTGTTGTTTTGTGGTTCCATGTGCTGTATGTGACAGTCAAGTAAGAAAAAAAATAGCATGATTAATTCTATCTGAACCCATTAGGATGTCCCCTGTGCCATGTCTGATTAGGAATTCCTGGTCCTCGCTTTGTGGGATCCCCTGTAAGTCATATCCTCCACAGTTTCAGCCAGAACTTGTTTCATGACTTCATCAATGTAAATTTTGCCCAAACCTTGCTTCTGGCACACCTAGGCAATGAGTTTAGGGTGCTGAGAAATAAAAGTCCCTAGAATTCTATCCTAGAGAAAGAATAGAGATCATTGTATAATGTATCAGATGGCTCCCACATGGGTGGCAGAAACTCGAATACCTAGCCCATTCATTAATTGCTGACTTCCAGGATCATGAGCAAGAAGCTGGACTGGAAGCAGAACAAAGTTTTGATCCCAGGCATTCTGATATAAGATACAAGTGTCCAAGTGTTGGTTTAACCTCCTGCACCAGAATGTCTAACCCCTAAATGTCTCTGTTAACTCAGCCTCAGATACTAGAGCCACACAAACTAAGACAGGAAGAACCACATGACATAACAATCATAAACTGCACAGTATCTATAGCTAAATAAAATGACTAAGAACAGAATTAACTTCACCTCCCCACAGCATCCAATAGACAAACACCTCACTTCCCCCATCAACAATCATGCCTGAAACTTGCACCACTTCTACAAGAAATTCTTTTTAGCAGCCTCCTACTAATAAACCACACAGATGGTTTATTACTCCCAACGTTTTACACCTTCTTTGACATCAGGTATGTTTGTGACCTTTGGAAAAGGGAACTCAGCAAAGTATTATTTCAGTTTTGGTATTGAGAGAGAATGAGACCTGTGGGCAATCCTGAGGTTGCCTGCCTAGCCCATGCAGTTAGCCTGAGTGCTGGCAGCTGGCGGGAGCCACGGGTACATTTTATCCCCACCCCCACCTTCTACCAGTCAGGTAAACTGTTCCCGAGTGTGACCCAGCTCCACCTGGAAAGCTACCTTGGCTATGTGACCTTCAAGCTGATCGGAGAGGCATATTGGCACCAGTGTCAGTTCTGTCCTATAGTTAGTGTTCCCGAGTTAGTTACACTCCTTCTCCCTGCCCTTTAAAAGTGTACATGGCTGTGAATGAAGTCGGACATGTTCACTGACGCCTGTCCCCAGTATTCTTGTGGGAAGGACACTGTTGCCCTATTTTGCAGGATGAGCCACAAAGACCACATGAGCATGAAAATAAAATTTACAGGAGAAAAACAGCTAAAAAGTGAAACTGACACTTTGAGAAGCAGTGACTTTGAACAGCCCTTGTCTTAACTGTTGAGGAACAGTTTTGTTTTGTTTTGTTTTGTTTTTTCATACTATTTGTTGAACTCTTTACTTAACAGAGTTAATCATATGTGTATAACATTAATTGAAAATAGATCTTAGTAAAAAACAAGAACAGGAATAGGAGAGGGAGGAGGAAGAGAGGTAGGAGACTTGGTGGGAGGGTGGGTACCGTGGGAAGAAAAACAGCCAGTTATATGCACATAGTAATCTTGGCTCAATGTTGAATATCTTGACAATATATCTTCTCCATAAATACCAAAGACAATAGAACATTGCAATACAAGTTGTTTGAAAAATTAAATTGGTTCTCTGAAACATGTCCCAGAACTGTGTTCAGTTGACAAGCTCCAACAAGTTGTTTTGAATGGCACCGTTTGTGGTGGTCATCCTGAACCAAGAACACTCACCACCAGTGTGAACCAAACTCTACCTTATTCAAATTGAGTCTACAGACAAGGGAAGTCACAGCATCAGAAAACACTCCCAACCTTGATCTGACTACCTGATACAACAGGGCTCACAGGAAAATCCAACCCAGGGATGTATCTTTGATGATGTGGAGCCTCTGGGGACATTTGCACTAACACAACTATGAGAAAAAATGGAAGCCCAGTAAGCACTGACAGTTGTGGGAACACTCCTGATTGGTAAGCTGAAGAATCAGGAAAATGGATTGGAAGTGTCCGCACACTGTCCATTTAGTTATCTCTGTAAGTGGCACCTCCAAATCGTGAGTAATATTCGCTTCTGTCAAATAACTTAGGTTACTTGATGAATTTTAATGTGGCGTTACAAAGCAAATTCTGGAAAGGTTGGTTTCATATTCACATCACTTAATCAAGGAAACACATCTCCGAATCTAGATTTTAACATGCTCTGTACTAAATTCCAAGTGAATTAGCCAAGGATCAATCAGAAAGATGACAGACTAGAGGGCAATCTAAGAAAATAATTCACATGATATTATATTGCATGACATACCAAGACTAATGACAATTACTTTTTAGCACAGAAGATAGGTTAAACTTTTCACAAAAGTTTTTTTCTCCATGAGGAAGAGGAAGAAATTCATAATGGGGAAGTGGTTTCCAAAACCTGTCACTTGAGGCCAATAACAAATCTCAACATTTGACAAATTAATTTTTCCTCTTCTTTCATTTGCATTGAGTTCTTAAGACACAGTTAATTTTTCAGCAGCTCCATTAGTCATAGGATCATCGAAAAACTAATGTGAAAACTAAAGTTACAATTACATTCCATCCACCCATGGCCCTAACACACTCAAAATAGAATAGAAAGGTTTCACTGAGAAAAGAAAAACACTACCTAATTAAACCTAGGCTCTATTGCTCTTTGTCTATTTAGGGAAATATTCCACTGCCCAGTTTTTTTGTTCTACATATCATCATATGAATATCATCCATTGATATTTATTTTTTTGAAAGTCACAGTTACAGAGAGAGGATAGAGAGAGGTCTTCCATCCACTGGTTTACTCCCCACATGGTTGCAATGGCCAGAGCTGGGCTAGGCTGAAGCCAGGAGCCAGGAGCTTCCTCCAGGTCTCCCACGTGGGTGCAGGGGCCCAAGAACGTGGGCCATCCTCCGCTGCTTTCTCAGGCACATTAGTAGGAGCAGCCAGGACTTGAACCAGTGCCATATGGGATGCTGGTGTTACAGGCGGTGGCCTTACCCACTATTCCACTATACTAGCCCCCAACTGAAGATTTTTCCACATTCTCCATATGCATGGTTTCATTTGAGCTTGTAGAGCTAAAATTTTTCTGACACCCTTTAAAAAATTATTGTTTATTTGAAAGGCAGGGTGAAACATAGTGATCTTCCATCCCTTGCTTGACTCCCCAAAGAGTCCCAATCACCAAGGCTGGTCCATATTTATAAGACCAACTCCACTGCGGTCTCCCATGGTTGCATGGGCTCAAGGAGTTGGGCTGCCTTCCATTACTTTCCCAGGTCCATCATCAAGGAGTTGGATCAAAAGCAGAGCAGCCATGCAGGACAACAGGCACTCCAATACAGGATGCTTGCGTTGCAGGCAGCAGCTTAGCCTGTTGCACAACACCAGATTTATGTTTACATGGAATCTCTCCACTATGTTCTCTCATGCGGGCTAGAAAGGTTGTGTGATCTTGAAGGCATTTGCAAACTTATTATGCAGTGTTTCTCTCGAATCTGATATATTTAGCACTTTGGAAAGGAAGTGAAACAGAATGTTCACCTGTTCAGTGTTTATTGTTCATGTATTAATGAGGGAAACAGGACTTTAACACATTTTTACACACATAGTCACTCTGAGTTCTGTGTCTATACAAGGAACTGGGAAATGAGAATGCTGTCCCAAAACCCTTACATTCACAGGGTTTCTCTGCAGTGTGATTTTTTTTCATGTAACAAAGTAACTGGACTGACTGAATGCCTTCCTGCATTTCTCACATTCACAGCGTTTATTTGCAATGAGTCCTTTCATGTCTTCGAACGGAACTGGAACAACTGAAGGCCTTCCCACACTTGCCACATTCATAGGGTTTCTCTCCGGTGTGAGTCCTTTCATGCATCTGTAAGGACTGCTGAGTACTTAAAGGTTTCCCACATCTTCCACACTCATAGGGCTTTTCTCCAGTGTGCGTCTTTTCGTGAACTCGAAGGGAACTGGAACAACTGAAGGCTTTCCCACACTGCTTACATTCATAGGGCTTCTCTCCAGAGTGAGACCTCTCATGTACTCGAACAGAACTGGAAGAACTGAAGGCTTTCCCACACTGCTTACATTCATAGGGTTTCTCTCCAGAGTGAGTCCTCTCATGTACCTGCAAGGAACTGTAAGTACTCAAGGCTTTCCCACATTTGCTACACCCATAGGGCTTCTCCCCAGTGTGAGTCCTCTCATGGATGTGAAATGAATTGCTGTAACAAAAGGTTTTGCCACACACCTTACATTGATAAGGTCTATCTCCACTGTGCGCTCTCCTATGTCTCTGAAGGCTTCTTAACCATGTGAATGTTTTCCCACATTCATCACATTCATAGGGCCTGTCTCCAGTGTGAGTTCTTTCATGTCTTCGCAAGGAACTGTTACTACTGAAGGCTTCCCCACGCTGCACACATCCATACGGCTTCTCCCCAGTGTGAGTCCTTTTGTGATGTCTCAAGGATCTGTGAGACCTGAAGATGCTATCACACTGTTCACATTCATAGGGTTTCCCTCTGTTTTTCTGATCCCTATATGGTTTGTTTCCAGAGTCCGATATGACATGCCTATGAAGAGAGAAATGGCTGTTCACCACCTCATCACACACACTGCTGTTACAAGGTCTTAAGGCACAAGGGCTTTTCTGCATAACATAATGCAGAATATGTCTGAAGGCTTCACCACATTGACCACCTTCCTTACTTTCCCAGTCTCTTTACTGCATCATAGCTGGATAGAAAGCAGCTTATTATGAAGGATTTCTGTACTAATGATCTTATATTTACTAACAGGTATTGGTTTTACATTGTCAACAGGATCAGGCCAAATGGAGCCTTTGTGCTCCTGCACTGCTGGCATCTCAATGCATCTCTGCCAAAATGGCCCAACCACGGATATTATGCAAACAGCGATGTTCACATGGGGTTGCTTAATACTGTTTCCAACTCAGTTTAAAACAGGGAGCATCTATACCACATGCAAGCACACAAACTGAGGATATTCTGTAATAATTAAAGGGGAAATTTTGCTCATTTTGTTGCTTTTTTAAACATTTCTTGACATTTTGAGACTCTCTTCTTACAGAATATTGTTTCTGCTTGTGAGTATAAATTACCTTAGATTTCTCCTAGGATTCCTGTACTCATTTCCAATGTTATGGTCGTCCTGTATTATTCCTAAAGTGCAGGAGAAGAAACATCTTTATAAAACTGCAAACTTAGAGAAACGATGAGATCATGCCTGAATCACCTACTGAGGGAACCCTACCCTTTCCATAGCCCATGTCACTGAACAGCAGTCATGGGCCACAGAACCTCCTATTCTACAGGAATGAAGGAATGATGTCATCCTTACCTACAAAGACCATGTTCCAGAAGTTCTCCATCCTCACCTCTCTGTACAGATTCTTTTGAGAATGATCCAGCAAAGCCCACTCCTCCAGAGTGAAGTTCACATCCACATCCTTAACAGTGATAGAGTCCTGAAACATACCACACATGTAGATAAGCACTAGTAATCTATACTCAATTCACAGGACGTGAAAAGCATACTATGAACTCCAAACATTATTCTCCATACTTGGTAGGCTCCTACTCGCTGTCTACTGAACCTTCCTTTCAAACGTAATTGTGCTAAATTGAACTATTAAGAAAAGCACCAGCTATTTAGGATAATAAATCATGGGTGACTTTAGGGAGCTAGCAATGTTGCATGGAACAGCCCCAATGTCTTTGTACACTGGGTCTATAGCACCTGGATAACAAAGTTTTACTAACTCACTTCCAGAAGGGGGAAAATCTCACTTCTTCAGTTACTTATTACCAATTTCAACAATCTATTCAGTAATAAGTAGAAAAAGGGATCTATGTCTCACAATGTAAAACAACTGACTTTAGGGAATTAGAGGGGCTGATCTGATCTGAAGTAGATTTGTGAGGGTCTCTAGCTGCTGACTAAGACAGGAAAGAGTCTAGGGGAACATAGTATTTAAAAGTGGAGAGAGTACAATCTCAGGGAAGAGTTGGGGAGAAAACTGCAGAGGAAATTCCATGCAAATTAGAGGAACACTGTGGACCTATGCAGAGGGTGCAGATGCACAAAACTCAGGACCCCAGCAGAAGAGAGCCTTGGCAACAGCTTTGGAGTGAGGTGAGACCAGAAACCAGCAGCACAGGTCATTAGTGATAAAGCTGTGGGAAGAGCCTTGTGTGAGTCCAGTTTGGAACCTGGGGTGACAGTATACCTGCTAACCTAGAGGGAAAAAAATTGGGCCTATTTATCCCTGACCACCCAGCACCAGCATTCTGTAACAGGCGAGGGAGGGCAGGCACCTTTTTGGACATATATTAATAGCTGCACCAGCTCATGTCTGCACACCCAGCAACCGCTGGGGCTGGCACCCAGGCACTGGTCTCCTTTGAGAAGAGGAGGTATGCATGAAACTAGACAATGGAGCAGAACAAACCTCGCCATGTGATTAAGAAAAAGGAGATGTGCCATGTCTAATTTGGGTGTCACCTTGGACACTTTCCTCACCCTGGAACAATAAACAGAGCTCCCTGACCACACCCAGCACATACCTCTGGGTACTGACTGCAAGAGCAGACACTCCACTAAGCCACAGAGGCATAGTCCAAAGATAAAAGCCATCACTGGAGAAAAAAACCAAGTATCTACACAAATGCCTAATAATAAATGCAGCGATTCAAGATACAAGAATAAGGAAGGCAACATGGTGCCACCAAAAGAGCACAACACTTTAATACCAGAATGTGAAGATGAAGAGATTGATGAAATGACAGAAACAGGATTCAAAAGATTGCAGGATTACTTAGAAGTAATCAGAAGCAAGCCCATGAACTAAAGAAATCTGTACATGAGATGAATGACAAATGTTCCCACTAAGTTGAAATGTTAAAGAGAAATCAAAATACTGGAAATGAAGAATTCAATAGAACAAATTAAAAATGCACAGGAAAGTCTTTTTCAGAGTTACACTGAGAGAGGAGAGGCAGAGAGAGAGAGAGAGAGAGAATTCAATAGAACAAATTAAAAATGCACAGTAAAGTCTCTTTCAGAGTTACACTGAGAGAGGAGAGGCAGAGAGAGAGAGAGAGTGTGTGTGTCTTCCACCCACTGGTTCACTCCCCAGATGGCTGCAATGGTTGGAGCTGCACGGATCTGAAACCAGGAGCCTGGAGCCAGGAGCCTCCTCTGGGTCTCATGTGGGTGCACTGCAGACCAGGGCTTTAACCCACTGCACCACAGCTCCGGAACAACAGGAAAGTCTTAACAGACTCAGTAGCGGGTAAAGCTGCCAGCTGCAGAGCTGGCATCCCATATGGGCGCCCGTTCTAGTCCCGGCTACTCCACTTCCGATCCAGCTCTCTGCTATGGCCTGGGAAAGCAGTAGAAGATGGCTCAAGTCCTTGGGTCCCTGCACCCATGAGGGAGACCCGCAAGAAGCTCCTGGCTTCAGATCGGTGCCACTGGAACCGTTTCGACCAACTGGGGAGCGAACCAGCGGATGGAAGATGAAAGAAAGAAAGACAAGAAAAGGGGAGGGGAGGGGAGGGGAGGGAGAAAGAAAGACTCCGTGGTGGGCGGGCGGAAGGAAGGAAGGAAGGAAGGACGGACGGACGGAAGGAAGGAAGACTCCGTGGCCCTCAAAACTCACATGCAGACCGAATCGGCCATTATGAGAGATCAAGAGCTGGAACAAGCGGTTCCCTTGAAGTGCTTGGGGCCACGCCCACAGCGAAGGAATCGTCTACACGGGCACAATGGCTTCTCTCTCGGCTGTCGGGGCCACAGGCGGCCCTGCTCATCTCAGAAACGCCTCACTAGCTGCCGCCGCTCCACGCCGGCCCAGAGAAACGTCTTGTCTTTGTAGCACCTCGGAAGTGCGACGCTGAGAGGGCGGTGCGCTGCGTTCCCGCCACGCCGACATTCCCGCCAAATATCCCCGGGAACGGCGAGCCTGAGGGCTGGGCTCCTCAGAGCGGGCCTGGGTCCCGCCCGCCGCCCAGCCCAGCCCCCGAACCAAAGGCCACAGCCGCTCCGGCCACATACACTCACCATCTCCGGGTTCCCCGAATCCTCGAATCCCCGTCGGAGAACAGACCAGCACGGAGCGCTGCGGGATGACAACGCCCTCGGCGGCACGCAGGCACCAGCCCGCCAAAACGGAAGAGGCCGAGACTTATGTAGTGCTCTTCCAGCACCTGATTGGGTAGTTGGTACAGTCCCACCCCCCCACCGCCCTCCCGCCCCCTGATTGGCTCATGAGCCCGTCCCCTCCCCCTGAGGCCTGACTGTGGCTCTCCATGGCTGCATGGGTGGAGATGTAGCGCCCTCCCAGCGTCTGATTGGGTAGTTGTCGCAGTCCCGCCCCCGGAGGCCTGACTGACGGGGACGGAAATGATGGATTCTTGTCCCAGCCCTTCGCAGGCGGGGCTTCCTCTCCTCACGTGGATCTGGCCCAACCCAGGAAATACTTGGTTGTAAGTAAAATTCGCGCCTGGCTTTCCAGCTTGGGCACTGACTGCTTCCGGTGCTCAGTGGCCGCTTCCTGCCTCTTCCGCCTGGAAATGGCGTCGCAGGCGTGACCGGAGACACAGAGACGCCCGGCCCACTGAGGCCAGGGGGGAGTGCGGCCCGGTGTTCTCAGAACCCCGATTTTGCCCTGCGGTTTTTTGGGGGAGGACTTTTAAAAGTGTAGAGAGGGCCCAGCAGTGACGCAGCAGTGCGGGGTCCTGCGACACGGACGCAGCTGGAGTCCCGGCCGCTCCCCTTCCCATCCAGCTCCCTACTGTGGCCTGGGAAGGCAGCAGAGGGTGGCCCGAGTGCCGCCTGCGAACCTGCACCAGTGGGAGACCCGAGTTCCCTGCTCCTGGCCGCGGCCTGAGGTAGCAACAGGCACGGCCATCCGGGGAGTGAACCATCGGATGGAAGATTCCCCCCCACCGCAACTCTGCCTTTCAAATAAATGAAATAAATACTTTAAAATAAATAAAATTTAGGGAGTAACAATGTATAGAAACACCAGTCGTGGGTTTTATTTAGGAGTATAACGTAAAAGGTTTCAGTCATCAAGAAGAAGTGACAATTGTTTATGTATATCCACCCAACATATATAAAGCCATCTGAAAGATGGTACTATTATCAAAACAACAATGTTCACATGGGCTTGCTGTATACTATTGCCAAGTGTATATTCGGTAAACATTGAACATCTATACCACATGTAAGTACACGTATTTTGAGAATATTTTATAAGTAAATTGGAACTTTCTCGTTCATTTTTTTTAATTTCTTAACCTTTCAAGATTCTCATTTTGAGGATATTCTCAAAGTATGAGAATATGAAGGGTTTGATTCATCAAGAGGAAATAACAATTATAAATTATCCATGCAACATAGGAGTACCCAAATATATAAAGTTACTATGGATAGAAATAAAAAGAGAGCTAGATTCTAACACAATAACTGCAGGATCTTTCACACCCCACTTGCAGCAGTGGACACATCACTCAGGCAAAAAACAATGAAACAGCAGGGTTAAACTGCACCCTCAACAAAATGTATATAATAGACACATATTGAACAGTCCATGAGGCGCTGAAGAAGCAAATGGAACATCTGAAGGGTTAAAAAGTTAAAAGCCGCTCCCCCCCACCTCCCCTGGTGAACTTTCCTGACCTCGTTAGACTTGCTCTGCATAGCCATTCTCTGTAAAGTTAATTAGTCAGTAAATTACCCCAATGTGAGCATAACCTTAGTTTCACCTAAGTGAGATAGAAGAAGTCACTGTATATCTCTTTGCCTCCTGGAACTCTGACCCCACCATGTGTCCCTTATCGCCATTCAGCTGCATTCCTAGGTATCATCAAGGCAGTTCCTGCAATCTTGTGTGGCCCTCCCTTTTGGCAATAGGAGGCTTTTTGATACTCCCTGTATAGGCCATATGGTTCTTTGAGGTCTAATCAGGCCCTTACTCGGTATCCTGTACTTCCTGTATTCATAAATCAACTGGTTGTAAAATCACTTAACTTGTATCAATTGTTTACTCTATACCTCTGTCTGATCTATGCAATGATTGATTTTCTTTGTTTAAACGTGTATAAAAACCCCAACCCAAGACTATTTGGGGCCGCTCGCCTGTACTGGGACGGGGGCCCCGACATTTCGGATCATCAATAAACTTTACCCTTTGTTAATTACATGAGAGAAGGTCTCTTGGAGCGTTTTTGGGGTGGCAAGAGCAATTCAACTCTAATTCAACCGTAACACATCAACCAGGCTAGATCATGTGGCAGCACCAAATGTAACCCTTAAATACTGAAAACCTACCCAGTATCTTTCCTGACCACAGGGCAATTAAACCATGCTACCTCTACTTCTGTCAACTGTTATTATCTGTATAACTAAAATCCTCCAAAAATACACCCTGAGACATTTTCCAGGACAGCTCTTTCTCATACTGAGGGTGCCACACTTCTCTTTGGGGTCTGCACTTCTCAGGCTTGATGAGCAAACCAGAGTTTTTGAGCACATAATAGTTAATAACAATCCATGTTTCCCCTCACTGAGCAGGTGGTGTAAGGCAGAGAATCTGATTTGCAGAGTAAGCACTTTATAAATGTCAGATCTTCACTTTCCCACATGATACCACAATTCAGACAAAGGAACAAGAAAAGGTAGTTAATCCAAAGATACAAAATGAGATGACAGGCGCCCTTCCAGAGAAAATCTAGATGTTAGACATGCTAGACTGAAACTGTATACAAATATGCACCCTGGGAGGCAGCAGATTGTGGGGGAGGCTGAATCCTGAGAGGCCTAGAGGAAACTTCCTGAGCCTGCCTCAAATTTGAAAACTTGTCTTTAAGTTTCAAATCCCTGGCGGTAAACACCCCAGCCCCAGGGCGCTTTTGCCTAATGATCATTAAGGTGGTATAATAGGAGTGGCTAAAACCTTGTGCATCACATCACCCCACCCCTTGCCCGCATCCGCTCTGTACCTCAGCTATATAAACACCTCTCTTTTACAATAAAGTGAGATCCTGCTTCGACTGGGCTCTCCACCGCATCTGATTGTCCCCCGGGTTTGGGGAAGGCTAAGAGGCGGGGGGCGCACTTCCCCTCCTCGGCCAAGGCAAGCTGCGGGCAGCCTGCCTAATTTTCCAGCGGTGACGGTGACGAGGAAGAGTCACCGCAGCAGATGGCTGAATTATTTGGGGCCCTGCCCACTATGTGGGAGCGTAGGATTCAATTCTGGGCTCTTGGCTTCAGCCTAGCCAAGCACCAGCTGTTACAGGCATTTGAGGGGGTGAACCGGTAGATGGAAGCTCTCTGTTTCTGTCTCCCTCTCTCTTCCTTTCAAATAAAGTGACATACAACAGATAAGTTTTTTTTTTCATCTAAAGCATCTATCTTAAAATATGCTCAAAGAAACAAAGGAGGGGCTAGTGTATTAATACATTCAATGTGCTTAAAGAAAAAAAGTATTCATTGAGAATTTTATAATCAGCAACATGGTCTTCAAAAAAAAGGAGTGAAAAATTAAGAAACTTTCAGATAAAAAAAAGAGAGAGAGAAAAGCTGATAGAATTCATCATTACTCATGCCTGCCCCACAAAAAAAAAATCCTCACGGAGAATCCTCTCTCTTTTTTTAAGATTTAGTTATTTATTTAGAGAGGCAGAGGCAGAGAGAGAGAGAGAGGTCTTCCATCCACTGGTTCACTCCCCAAATGGCTACAATGGCCAGAGCTGGGCCAATCCGAAGGCAGGAGCCAGGAGGTTCCTCTGGGTCTCCCACATAAGTGCAGGGGCCCAAGCTCTTGAGCCATCCTCTGCTGCCTTCCCAGGCACACCAGAAGGGAGCTGGATTGGAAGCAGAGTAGCCAGAACTCGAACCAGCACCCATATCAGATGCTGGCATCACAGGTGGCGGCTTAACCCACTGCACCACTATGCCTTTAGATCTCCAGACACAGATATGTTGAGAAAGAACATATATAACAGCGGGCAGTGCTGTGACCTCACCCCGCACTCCCGGGGTGGGTACAGTTCAGGCCTACCATTTTCTGGCTCAATCTATTCTCCACCCTTTGCCCAACCCGGGCCCCAGCGCATCTGAGGCTCGGTCACCTGCTCCCTTCTCTAGTTCCTGTGGCTGCTCCCGCAAACCTGCTGGCTAGCCCAGGAAATCGCTGCTGTGTTTGGAGCACCAGTGTCCCAGGACTGGAGGACTTGGGCAGTGACCTGAGATCCCCATGACTTCGCAGGATGGGAGAGCCCCGAAAGAGAAGGGCAGAGGACCATCCGGGTTTGTCCGCACTCAGCCAGACACATTCTCTGCCTGGGACGGCTAGTGTCTCCAGGCTGCCGTGAACGACCAGCACGTGGGTCTGGGTGTGGTGGGCGGGGAATGCCTCAAGCAGGGGTTTGAGGACTGCAAGAGGGTGATGATGACATCACTCTGGAATTTAAGTGGCCACAAAGTTCTACACATCAGGGTGCAGTCTGAGAATGCGGGATGGAAACTGATGCTCTCCAGGTGGGCACCATACGACTTGGGTTGACTCTGGACCGGGGTGATCTTCGGTGCCATGGGCAGCATTCCACCCACCAGGAAATCACCTGTGGATTGGTGGGAAAGTGTCTGAGACCATAGGGGGTTGGATGTGAGACCTGGGGCAGGGCATAAGGTTCCAGAAAGTGATGCAAGGGGGCTGTCATGGGAGAACCCAGCGAGTTCTTTGAGGGTACTAAAGGCCACAAAGAATCAAGATACAGAAACTAAAAAACTCAAAAGGGCTTCAGGTTGTACAATTCTGCTTATATGACTTTGTGATGAGTACCAGGTCAGTTGGTGTCCAAGGAAGAGGGATCTTGCAGGGTGTGTTCAGCTGTCTTGGTGGTGGTGGTGATTTCATAGGTGTACACATGTCAAAATAGGAAACAAAGTTTACGTGTGAGCAACTGACTATTTTGCAGCCAAATCTCAGCACACCCAGAAAGGAGGCCGGAAGGGAAATTAAGTCCCCATTACTATTGGTCTGTAATTCTCAGGTGTGTAGGCTACAATGCTGACATGTGAGGGATGCTGACAGATTGGCATTATGAGCATATTCTCTGAGCAAGAAAGTCTTTGTTGGTATAGTGACGCTGGCTTTGTCCTTTCCATGGGCTTCTATTCTGTTAATTTCCCTAAAAA